TTGTTGATCCACAGGACTCACCCCAACTGCTCTCAGACCCACATAGAGAAGACTGGCCGTGGGCCAGAGGCAAGATACCCCGGGAGGAGTCTTCCCAGCAGTCCCTGCCCTTCCTCCTGACATCCCCCCTAAGCACGGGGTCAGCCTGGCCCGCGCGGGCCCCAGGCATGGAGTCTCCTCCACGGCCTCCCTCCTTCCCCCATCAGCACGGTGGCAGAGCCCAGCTGGGTCTGGTTCCTGCACCTCTACCTGCCCCGCCTCACATAGACCTTCCTCTCCCTTCTTGCTGAGGAAGTTGAGCCCCCCATCTGGCCCCCTGCTCTTCCCTCTTCTGATCTGACCTGTCCTGGACCATCCCCAAGCCCATCACGCCTGCTTCCCAGCAGCTCGGTGTAGTCAGCTTCCTCTTGATGTCGCCGCTTGCCACCTGTGTGACCTCGGGCTAGTTTCTTAACCTCTCTGAAACTCCATTTCCTCGCTTAGAGTTAAGGACAATTTCATTGCATGCATCGTAGGGGAAGTTATGATAATCCAACAATATCATCAGTGTGACAGCCAGTCCTGTCCCTGTGGGTGGAGCAGTGCTGTGTACCCCAGGTGGGACCTGAGTCCCTGCTCCCACCACTTGCCTCCCAGCTGTGACTGTACCTTCTCTATGGAAACGGGAGAATGTCTGCGGGAACCCGTTCTCCGGGTACCAGGAAAGCATCATGGTCAGAGGAGGAGGCCGCTGGGGCTGGGGAGAGGAGCTTGCAAGTCCAGGGCCCGGACTTGGGAGCGGAAGGGGCTGGGGTGTCAGGAATGGAGTGATACACGGGGTCAGAGGGGTCTGATGTGAGGGGCCCATCTGAAGAGGTTGCATATGGTTTGATGGCCCAGGGAACCTGGCCCCCAACTCCTCTCGCCAGACGGGCATGTCCTCACGGGCTTCCTCCCAGAGTAGCTGGGGGAGATGAGATAACACGGGCAGGCGGCCCCACCACTGTGTTGTTAGCCCTGTGCCTGCCCATCCCGGCCGAACCCCAGATCCGCTGCTTCTCCGAGCTCTGGCTCCTTGTCGGCAGGAGAGAGATAACACTCCCTACCTCAGGGACGTATAGTAATTACATAAGCATGAGAACTAGAGAAACATGCCCAAGAGAAGACAGCGGCCGGGACTGGGGCCTGGTCAGTTGCAGGAATTTTCTGCAGGAGAATATTGCAAGTTTGGGGGAGACGAGGAGGGAGGGATGGTCTAGGAGGGAGGGACGGTCTAGGAGGGAGGGACAGCCTAGGAGAGGGCTGTGTGCCAAGTCCCAGGAAGTGCTGGGTGGGAGACCAGGACGCCTGCTCAGCCTTCTGGACCCTTCACTCAAACACTGGAATGGAGGTGGTTTATGCGAGAGCCAGGGGACCCTAAGTGGAGCCGGGACTTCACTGAGTCCTCTTCCTTCCTTCTCCCTGTGACAGGAGCCCCCACACGCGGCAGTTCCTGGGCTGGGGGAGCTTCCATGCACAGCACCTTTCTCCCCCTCCACTCCACACGGGGCCGAGCGGGGACCACGGGCAAACAGTGGCCCCTGACCCCTCACAGTGGATCGGCCCCAGTGTCCTGTCTTGTGCCCCTGGCCAGCTGGCCTCTTGCTCTGTTTCCTGCCCTGCCTTCTGCTCCGTCCTTCCTGGCGGTGAGTCTGCCCTTCCCTGTTGTCACCTTGCTGACTCACGGCACCCGCCTCCCCCACCCAGCTGTCTTGACGCAGCCAAAACTCACTTAGAATCAGAGACCAGAAGCCCGGGGGAGCTTGTGACTGGCTAGCCTGGTCTCTGGACACGAGGGCAGTTGGCCACAAAAAGTCAGCCGGTGCAGGACAGAAGCTCCATAATAGCCGTGGCAACCCAGGTTCCTGGGCCCATCTGCCCCTGGTGGCCCTGCCTCCGCTTCCCCATCTATAAAATGGGGGTGTTCATACCGGCCCTGCCTGCCTTTCAAGGTTTGTTGAGAGAGATATGCAAACGTGATGAGGAATAAGGGGTGCGTGGCAGGCAGAAGCTCTGGCAAAGACATAAAGTGCAATCCATTTGCGTGACCCCTGCTGTCTATTGCTTGGAACATCTTGGGACTTCAGGCTGCAGAGCCCACCCGGTGCCTCCTGCATCAGGGAGGATCGGACAGGCAGCGGAGCTGGGATGCTTGGAGTTCAGAGACCCCTAGTGGCCTGAACGGGCACAGAAACAGATCCCGGAGAGAGGCAGGTGGCCTGGAGCCTGGGAGTCAGGCGGTGCCCTGGTGTCCTCCTGGCACCCAGACACCCCGTGAGTCGAGTAACTGTGCCAACTCCACACACACACTTCCAAGGGGCAGCCCTGGCCGCAGTCAGGAGCCCCAGCCCTGAGCTCTGCACCAACTAGGAGCCGGGTGGCCCAGAAGCTCAGGCACCCTGGCACCCACAGCTCACGTCTCTGAGATGGCATAGGGTGAGGTGCAACTCGCTGCCATGCCCCAGCCTGGCGGGGGGCAGTCTTCAGCCAGAGACCAGCTTGTTTGGGCAGAGCCAGTGGTGTACCAGGTGTTTGGGCAGAGCCAGTGGTGTACCAGGTGTGCTGTGGGGACACCTCAGAGCTGCTCAAAACTGGGACAGGGACAACACACGGTCCCCGGTCCAGAGAAACCCTCCTGCAAACACAGGGCTCTGAGGGCTGCACAGGGAAGGGAAGTGGGTGGGGCTTTAGAGAGGACCTGCAGGTTTGCAGCTGTGTGGGTGTCTGCTCATGCGACCAGCCGGTGTGGTCTGTGTGCCTAGTCACCCGTGCGCCCGGGTGGGCTGTCTGCCTCCCACCCCCGCCTGCTCTAACACTGACCCCTGCTCTAGCACTAGCCCCTGCCCTAACACTGACCCCTGCTATAGAACTGACCCCTGCTCTAACACTGATCCCTGCTTTAACACTGATCCCTGCTCTAACACTGACCCCTGCTCTACTCCCACCCCCTGCTCTAACACTGACCCCTGCTCTAGCACTAGCCCCTGCCCTAACACTGACCCCTGCTATAGAACTGACCCCTGCTCTACTAGCCCCTGCCCTAACACTGACCCCTGCTATAGAACTGACCCCTGCTCTAACACTGACCCCTGCTTTAACACTGACCCCCCCTCTAACACTGACCCCTGCTCTAACACTGACCCCTGCTCTA